TACCACTGGATTTTGACGTTTACCCCAAACCATTGCCGTGTTTTTTATCTGTCTTATTTAATTAGAATTCAGTGCAAGTTCACAAATTTCACAACTGAACTTTTTGCAGCCTGGGCATAGTTTCATGTGTGATTCAGGTCCCGTGCCGTGTGCGGAGGGGCAGGCCGTGCATGGTGTGGCCATCCGCTGCTGCGGGAGGCGGTGCCGTGCCAGGTCCTGTTACTCTGGGGCTGAAGTCGCTCTGCTGTATCCATGTCCGTAGTATTGCTCTCCCTATTTACCTCTTTATCTATCAATGGGCAGGAATATAGGGATCAGCTAAAGGTAAATAATTAACAAGTGGTATTGTATGCTGCTGCAACTATGTAGAAACATTATTATTGTTGAGGAACTGGGAGTCTGGCTGTGTCCTTGCAGTCTGGCGCAACTGCTGCCCATCGATCCTGGCTGCCGTTGGTGGCCCTTACTGGTACCCTGCAGCTGGACCCCGACAGCGTCCTCAAAGCACCTTCCTCTTCCTTCCCTCCTCACATGCTGTCGCTGGAGTCCCCTGCTGTGGGGTGCCACCATGGGATAAGCGTGCCGAGGCTGCAGAGCATCATGTTGCTGCCATGCCACAGCGCTCCGCTTCCCTCCTTACCCGTGGCGAGGTGAAGCAGGGTGTGCTACGACTCGTAGCTGTGTTGGGACAACGAGGAGCGCCAGACCAAGGGAGAAGGACAAACCAACACTGGAGGCAGGAGGATGCTCATGGCCATGCCATGGGCCGGATGCTCCCACCCCTGGAAGGAGGAGGAGGAGAGATGCACACCTTCCTAATTCCAGGCATCTACCCATGAGGGCAGAGGCTTGTGCTGCAGCTCCAGACCTGCTCTCGCCAGCCGGGCCACAGAGGGCATCCCCCAGGCTGGGCCGTGCCCGCGCTCCACAGGCTGGAGGCTGGCAGGAACCGGCTTTGGTGCCGCCTCGGCAGAGGGCATCCCCCAGGCTGGGCCGTGCCCGCGCTCCACAGGCTGGAGGCTGCCAGGACCAGGCTTTGGTCCTGCTTCGGCAGTTGCCACCTCACCGTGCCATGTTCCTGATGTCAGGGCTGTCCTGCTCATCCTTTTCGCACACTATCTGACCAGGCAAACTCACCAGGGCACCCACACGTAATAAACCACCTGCCTGGGGGCTGTGAGACAGCCAGGAGCCTCCTGCCTTGTCATCGCTGCTCTTCCCAATGGCAGCAAGCCCTTCTGGACTTGAGCCCAAATCCCTTTGTGGAGACACCCCCAGCACGACGCAGAGAGCCTATATGCTAGTTTGGTTCACCTGGTTTTGTGCGTATGTGTGTGCGCATGTGTACGCACGTGGCAGGGGCAGCCCAGGGTCCCCAGAGAGCCTGTAGACTCCAGCTCTGCTGGGACTGGGCCACACTGTGGGACTGAGCTCAGACCCAAATGTCTGACCAGCCTCTTCACCCCCTGCCTCTGCCTTGCCGGAGGATCGCAGCAGTGTCACGTGCTGCAACTTCCAGCAGTGCTTGCATTGCTGCTGTATGGCAACTGGGTTTCCCAGTGGCCTCAGAGCAAACCCCAGTGCTGCCTTGGCCTCAGGCTCCATGTCTGCAATATGTCAGGAACAGGTAAGGTCGGCCTTGCTGTGTGCTACAGAGCTCTGCAGTGGGATGGGGCAGCAGGGTGTAAGAGTGTGCCAGGGTTTCCTGCTGCCACCAAGCGCTCAGCTGGACCATGGACATCTTCCAGAAGGTGGACAAATGGGATTAGCATGCAGAGAGGCAGTGACCTTGCTTGAACAACCTAGTCGAGGCAGGGGTAGAGCCAGGTACACCAGCGGTCCTTGTGCCTTTTCACTCCGCGTCCTCAGCAGCATGGGCGGGAGCTTGGAAGCTCCATGGCTTGCACCAGGAAGAAACACGGGCTCCCCTGCCCCGTACGGCCCTGTTTGCTCCTGCTGCCTTGAACCCATTTAATGGGAGCTGATGGGGCCAGAGAATCCAAGGTGCCTGTTAGCAGCTGCAGGGCATGTGCCAGAGATGGGAACTCTCAGGTGGGAACCCTGGCCTGAAAATCAGTGCTGAGCTGAGGGTGAAGAAACCACTGTCTGTGTTCTTGCCCAGACCAAGTGCCTTATAACCCACGCTGCCACTGCTCGTCCAACGCTGGCCTGATGACCTGGACTGCTAGTGCAGGGAGGGCCGGGGGCCTGGGGTTTTCTGCTTCCTACAGACACATACTGGTGCTTCAAGGCAGTCTTTGATACTGAAGTGCCTTGGAGGGCCGAGCCGTAACATGGTCTGTATTTAGGTTCCCTGTCTTCCTCTGACTAAACTGCCCCTGGTCGTAGCCCAAAGCAGCCTCCGGGTGCAAAAAAAGCAAGCAGGCTCCAAGGTGTCCCGGAGAGAGAGGACCCGGAGGGGGTGTCTCCAGGTCCTGCTCAGGCCTGTGCCTAATTTGAACTGGCCCTGGCTAATGGGAGGGGGGGAACCATCCGAAAAGACTTTCTGGCTGTGCGCTTGGTTGCCACATGCCGGCCCTTGTACGAGCGACTGGCCTAAATGGTTGCTCCGGGTTTTGTCTCCCGGTGGTGCGGGACCCGGGAGGGCGCTTGCCTGCGTTACCCTCGTGGAGGGGGCTGGCGCGGGCTGAGCGGCGCTCCTGGCCCCAGCGCCTCGTCCCGGCTCCGGAAGGGCTGACGGGCACAGCGACCGGGCGGAGGCGCAAACGCTGCAGTGAACGGCCACCTTAACCTGTGCTCGCCCGAAGGCCGCAGCGGAGACCCAGGCCCGTTTTCTGAGGACGCTAATACCTGCGTGGAAAGAGAGAGCAAAAAATAAGCGGAGCAGAAAAGGATGGAAAAGAGCGCGCACCACAGAAGGGAGAAGCACGACTGAAGTCAGGTACTATTTAAGTGGAAAAGCTAAATTACAGCCTATGGTTTTTGTCTTAAATTCAGCCCTAAATTAGGCTGCACTGTGATTTTGAGGAATAATGGTTTTTCTTCTTCCTAAAGAAAATGGGCCATCCTACCTCAGCGTATCCTGCTGTGGGACCAGCCATGTCACCTGTCGTAGTCCTGAGGGCAGCGGGGCCTGAAATCCCTGACTCCTGTGTTTCTTATTGACAAATGGTAAAGGTCTCCTACAGCAATGACAAGCACGGATATTTTAACCGGCAATACGGACAGAGACAATTTATAGTCTATTGTGTTAAGGCAGCTGCTGAGCGTTCATACCCTGCCACCATCTTGACATTCCCGACTGGTTTTGATAGCTATTTTTAACAATGGATGTTTAACAGGAAAACCCTCATTTCCCAGCATGTTATCTTGGCCTTTTGCACTTTTTCTCTTCTCTAGTCCCTTCCTCCAGCTTTTCCACCTTCCCACACTTCTCCTCACACGCATACATGAAAACAAGTGCAGCAAGAAAAAAAAAAAGGTAAAACCGTCGTAACACAGCCTAAGTACAATTCAGTAACAGAGGGGATGTTTCTTTGGCAAACGTTTTGCATACAACAGTACTGAAAACAAGAAAGATCCTGTATCTACTACCACATTTAAAGAACAGCTTCGTTCAGTTGAGCGTGGAGTTGCACCACGTGTCCAAGTGCCATCCCTTCGCACGCCCCTTTTTAGGGTTGCCGTAGGATGGGGCTCCCCGGTACACACGATGCTCAGCGTGTCCCGCCAGAGGCTTTGCGCGCTGCGCGGTCAGAGAGCTGGCAAACACATTTCTCTGTGTGGCTATGCCGCTTTTTATTAAATGATCAGTTTTCGCAGGTAAAGCACATCCAGTCACAAAACTTAACCTAGTCATAGCTGGCCGTAAGTAACTCTCATGACGGCAGCATCGACAAACACGGCGCTGTCTGGATGGATGCCCCTTGCCACCTTAGAAACGCGGTCGCGGACCGAAGCAGGTTTGCGATGGCAAGCCTGTGCCCGGCCGGCAGCCCTTAGGATTCAGGCTGTCTTGACATCGCTTTTCACCCTCGCTACGTCACACGTAGACTCTTTTTCTGTCTTTTGGTTTTCTAAGTAACATTTCCTGGCAGTAAGTGCCCATATTGCGTTTGCCCGTATTACGGAGCAGGCTGGAGAGGACGGAGCAGAACATCCTACAAGTCGCTGATCCACGGGTGGGAAACGGCCGCAGGCTCTTTCCCCGAGGAAGCGGTGCCGCGAGGAGGGCTCGGAGCCTTGTTCCCACCCCCAGTTTTCCCGGGTGTAGGGCATCTTGGAAAGCAGCCATCCCCTGTTGTTTTAAGCTCCCCCAGTTTCTTGTTATGCCTGCAGGGAGGCTCGGCTCGTGTGCGAGGGAATTTTTGGTGCGCCTGTGATTGACAAGGCCATGGTGTCCCATCAGGGAGGCAGTGTTTTATTAATAAAATTACTCTGGGAAATTGCAATAAGATAGCTTCCTAGTGAAGAGCTGCTAGACTGAAAGTGCTTTTCAAGCACTGCGATGCGGGACCCTTCGTATCCCCTTTCCTTCTATTATCCATCGGTAATTCCTGGCAGGGAAGCAGAGCGGCTTCTCTCTGCTCCTGCGCTATGCTTCTCTCCTCTCTCTCCCCTCCCTCTGCCTTTCACCCCTGAAATATCTCAGCAATGCCAGGAGGCTGGTATGCCCTGGGCGGGTAAGAACAGTCTACAATGGTAGAGATTACGCCTGTTGTTTTTTGTCTGCTTGCAGTTGTCTGGACAGAGGATCCACAAAAGAGGTAGGAGCAGATAAATCTGAGAAGCTAGAACTTCTGCAGGAAGAACTATTAAACCCAGAGGAGGATTTGCTCCCCCATCCAAAGCGAACAGTCCTGTTCAGTTCATGAGAATAGTTCTTCGTCAATAAAGTGGTTCAGCATCTCATTTCCATCCCTTACCCTTCGCTCACATTTGTTGTTTTTTCTTTCTTCCCTCTCTAGGTCTAGCTTGCGTTGGAAATGCCGAAACCGTTAAGACATCAGGAGCTGGAAGTGTTGTGAACCCATTTAAACATGGAGCGGTGGGACTCACTGGGCATACTGATTATCACACTCAACTATAACGTGACCGTTGTAGGTAAGGAATTTTAAAAACATCTATTTTTTTTTCTTTTGTTGCTCCGTATCCCAGGGCCACTCTGTCTGACAGCTGATTTTCATTTGTTGCTATCAGTCTGAGTGATATCCTTAAAATAAGAAGTAATTAGTCAGGTTTGTGATATAAGAACGGTTAATATATTTCTATTCTTATTAAATAGATTCCTACTTCCTCTTTGACGGATGTTTTCTGAACTTTATGATAAAAACTTCTGGCAAGATTTTCAAATTTGGCTCTTCTTGACTCCTGAGCTTCTTGTCAGTACTACTGGCTGGTATGGACGATGGTGAAAACACACAGAGACAATATTTTATTTATATCAAATGAAGTGAACACTACAATGTATGCAATAGCTTTAGTGATGAATTAAATAATTTAGAAAAGGAGGAAAACCCTCTCTTTGCAGGAAGCAGTTTGTTTGTCATTAAATAGCCTTGCTTTTCGTTCTTCATTTTTATAAATCAACAAAGTTCACATGCATTTGAAAAAAAAAATGCATTTCTGTTTTTCCTTGGCTAATAGTGGCCTACTTCATTGATTTTGGAGGTTTTTTTCTTTTTTAAATAAGATACTGCTCCTCTTTCATGAACTACTTTGAGCAAGGTGTGATCCAGAGAAAAACTTTGAAGGGCTTTGGATTGGGACCCTTCTACTCAAATCGTGGAGAGCTGCTGCAGTTTGTGCTGCAGGCTGCAGGGAGCATACCCTGCGAAGTGGCAGTGGGTTCAGGCAAGGGGTGTCCTCTGGTGCACCTGATCGCGACCGAGCTGTGGGGGAAGGTGATGTGCCGAGGCCTTCTCCCTAGGATATGTGTCAGACTAAACCACTTCCTAAGGAGCTATTGATTTTTCTTCAGCAGCACTCCCTCTTGTACGTGTTCTAATTAAAAACTGATGGTGAACTAGCATGATTTGAGCTTAATTAACTAATGTGCTTCAAACAATTGGAGATCCTTGCAGGGAAAAAGTTCTACCAAAATGTGAAACATTATTTACTGAACATGAGTGATTTGTACAGTTTATGTTTTCCATTGAACTAGACTGTGTCAAAAAGAGGGTGATAGCAGAGCCTGTGTACCAAAACACAAGAATTTGAAAAACACAGTGAAACTGCCACTAAAGTTCAGGCAATTACAGATAAAATGGAAGAGTCTCAATTTATTTATGGTTAGATAATATATTATTTTGCCAGTAGCAGGAGGTTTTTATCATGATATCTCAAGTAGTTTATATATCCTTACCTTTTTTGCGATTGAAATGTTACCACTTCAGAGGGCAGTATTACTAGTCTAACCCCTTAATCTGTTAGCCACAAATGGTTTGCATGGGGCATTTAATACGCATGTTCAATGCCGTAATGGGTATCAGACAAATGTTGCACAAGTAGCTGAATATTTAAGATTTACACTAAGTATGGAAAAGTAGCTTTATGACAAATAGAAAAGAACATTGTCCAGAACAATACCTGTAAATATCATAGTTTTTACAGAAAACTCTTTTGGGATTCTGATTTTTTAAAAGCCTTGAAACGTGTATTGGTGCTATTTCATAGACTGTGTGCCCTAAAAACTCTGTGTGCATGTTAGACATGCAATAACTACTAACGGCCTAGGGTTTTCGGTGCATTTCTCAGCTATTAACTACTTACAACACACTTCCTCATTTTATTCACTGAGTTTTGCTATTTGCCTCTCTGTGGTTACCACTGGTTCCTTAACCTTTCCTTAAAGGACAGATTAATCTCATTGCTATCTTCTGTTTTGTTTTTTGCTTCTTGTTCCTACTTTTTTGGGGGATGTGTTCTAAAAATACGTGAAACTGAAGCAGGGATTGCTAAACTAAATTAATTTTCAATATTTTTTATTTTTTTACAATATAACAGTATATTTTCAGGTTTTTATATCTGCAAACCAGCAAAAATTCCTCCCTCTTTCTGCCCAAGAAAAGGATTTTTCTTTAATAAGTACCTTTGCCAGTTATATAGCAGCGTGTTGCTTTGCAAAAAAATCTTTTAACAAAAACTTATTCCATCCAAAAATGCTCCAAGAAACTGCACAAAGAACAGTCTCATTCAAAAGATGTGATATTTAGGGTAGCAATACCTAATTTTTTTCAGTGCTGTTGGTTTGATGGAATAAGGATAAGGCCTGATCCTTCCCACTGAATTGGATGAGTCTGAGCCTTACCTAAAGCAATTATATGAAAGAATTTTAGGGGAAGACAAATATGAATAAGCAATAAATTGAACAGCCAGATTGATGAGGCTTCCCTTGGTGTTTGTTTTAGGGCAGAAGGGAGCAATTGGTCTGAAAGGAGAGATCAGCAGAAGCAATGTGAATGAAGGCTGGAGATATCATGATGAGGCAACTAAAGAAGCATTAAAGAGAAATGACTGGGGTACATGTGTACAGACACAAACGTATATTTGTAGAACATTTTGCACAAATTTGCTAATTAACACCTGTTAACTAGCTCGTTAGTAAATCCCAATCTAGACAGAATAGAGATATTTTCTTGGATATAGCTAATCTTGCATTAGATTTATGGTTAAATAAGACCAAGAACAAATACTATGTCATGGAACAACTTCTTGTATCTGCAAGCTTCCTACTGTGCTAATTGATTTATATTAAAATAGGACAAAATTCAGGTGCACAGACATGAAGCAAACAATAAGAAAGAAGTGTAAGTGAAATGGGAATATTCACTCAACTCTTAATTCTTCTTACCAGATTTGGACATGTACAGAGTGTTTTAGTGAGGCTGAGGTTTGGTTTGGCATGGTTTACTGTATGTCAGACTCCTACACTGCCGAATCTAAATGAAAGCTCCGGAATGTGTTAGCTAACACATTTTCACACAAGTTTCAGTCCCAGTCAAAACAAAGCCAAAGAGGAGCTTTCAGAAGAGGAAAATGATTACAGATGCTGTTTCTTCAAACATCTCGTCTACAGAGAGTGGCTCTGTCGTGTGCCTCTCATTAGGATGAGTTCCTTCTCAATGCTCTCTTTTTCTTACCTTTTGTTCTCTTCTAGGAAAGATCTGGCTAATGTTAATAATTCTGCTGAGACTGGCAGTGGTCGTGCTAGCAGGCTATCCACTCTACCAAGATGAGCAGGAACGCTTTGTCTGCAACACCCTGCAACCAGGATGCGCCAATGTTTGCTATGATTTGTTCGCTCCCATATCTCACTTTAGGTTCTGGCTCATTCAAACTGTGTCTATCCTGCTGCCTTATGCTGCTTTCAGCATTTATGTTTTGCATGAGGTAGCCATGCACATTGTAAGAATGCATTGTTCGATATATGGTTGCAAAGGCAATAAGGGTTTACCTAGCCCCACAGACCACAAGGAACGCAGTGCAAGTGCTGTTGTCAACAGACTAGACTGTGATGTAGACAGCCTGAGCGTCCTTAATTTTTCCGGGGCGTATACTGTTCATCTTTCTTTTAGGACGCTGATTGAGGCTGCCTTCGGAGCCGGGCAGTATTATCTGTTTGGATTTTTTGTTCCCGAGCGCTTTTCCTGCTACCATTCACCTTGTACAAGCATGGTTGATTGCTATATCTCCCGGCCCACTGAAAAATCCATAATGATGATTTTCATCTGGGGAGTCAGCAGCCTGTCCTTCCTGCTCAGCCTTGTTGATCTTGTCTGTGCTCTCCGGAGAATGACAGCAAGGAACCGACAGAAGAAGCTGCTGGCAAACCTCCATGCAAAGGATGCATGTGTTTTAGATCTGCCTCCAGGACAGCATGACAGCTCTTCCCTACCTCGACATGAAGACCACCCAGTACCAAATGACAGCCAGAGCAGTAACGGCTCCTGCTCGCTTCTCTCTGAAGAGGAAGAAGAGTCTGTTCTTCATCCTGAAGTGGTGTCTCAGCAAACTGCCAGCACGAACCCTAACAGCAAGAGCAATAAGCCCTGTGTATTGGGAGATCTTGCTGCTAATCAAGACAACACTGAAGGGCCCTTGTGTGCTGATGACCAGCAAGGCACTACATGCAGGCAACTGAGACCTGGGCTTCAGCAAGGCTTCATTCAGGACACTGCCCTGGCTTTGAGACCTCAGATCAAGTCTCACCTTGGAGTTTCCTCCTCTGTAGTTCAGAACAAGCTTTTAGGACATTATGTTTCAGCCGAGCTAAAAAATTCTGATGCACAATCAAATTATAGCAGTACTAGTTGCCTGAGGTCAAAAAAATCAGAATGGGTATAAGAGCACTGAGTTAACACTACATTGGGATCCTGGCATGATGTGTTGTTGCATCGCTGAGGAGGCCTCAGGTTGTAGTTCAACTGGACACCTCAGCTGAGGTTATGCTGAAGAGACATGTTACTTTGCTGTGTTTGGCCAACTGAAGGAAGATGAAGAAGCAAAACTCTTTTGAGGAAGCAAAAACCTCTAATAAGAGCTTGAAGAATACCACAGTAAGGGAATTGTTCTCTGGGAAATGTAACAGCTTCACGTTCTTCTGAGTGTAAGTGGCTCTATAAAGCTGTGGACTGCCACTGATTTCTTTGATCTGTTTTTCCAGGAGTATGCATATCCACTTGTTTGCCCCGACCTAGTTTTATTTCCAAAGGTTGAGCTTGGGGAAGGCTTGACTTTTAAACATAGCTGTACGTTGTCTCTTTTCAGAAAGTTATTTAATCCTCTCATATTAAACTCTCTAAGCCCCTTTAAAAGCAAACGTTTTGTAGCAAAGTGCTAATGTATAAACAAGGCCTGGATCTTACTGATCTTTGGGGCTTGAAGGCTATGTCTGCACTTATTAGCAATACGGTGGTGGCTCCTCTTCCCTGGCCCAGAGGTCAACTGGCATGGTCTGGCCATGTCTGAGCTATTCAGCTCTGCTGGCCTTGAGAACAGGATGGCTGTGTCCAATCTATTTTTTGGGAATGGTCCTGTGCTAAGAGTCACTCGGGAGAAGGCTGGCAGGTAGGGCTGGAGGAGTGCCGGGGCTGCCTGAGCAATGAGACAGCGCAGGGGACCACGTTCCAGCGCTCATGCCCTGCTGCTACTTAGTACTAGTACTGGTGGAGGTAGATACACTACCAATATGTTTAGAAAGCATTGAATGCCTCTGTCTGTCTCTAGGCTGTAATTTTCAGCAGGGCAGATGACTCATTGAACCTATTTCAGGCATCTCTCAAGCTAGGGTGAGTCGCTCTGGATATACCTGTTCCGCCCACAGGGTGATTATCTCAGGCCTGGGCTTAGGGAAGGTTGTTTCTACCCCAAGAGAAGAATACAGTAGCAACGTCTATACAAAAACACTCACTTCTTTGTTTGATAGACCTCTAATGGTAATCATGCAAAAGCATGTTTAAATGGAGCGAGTCACGGCTGATTTTGTTATGCTTTGTTCTGTCCTTCTACTTTAATTCTGCTGCATTTGTGTAAGTGTGGCCGAGCACTGAAGCACAGCAGTGCGTGAGCTGTATTCACTCTTACCTACAAGTTAGAGGGGGCTGAAGGCTGCAGATAACTGCGGATCATCAGATATGGAGGAGCATGTACTCTGGGGAAAGGTACTGGTTATAGTGCCTTATAAAACTGATTATTCAGGGGATTGCAAGAGCTAGTGTTTGTAGACACTGCTTGGAGTTGAAGTAGCTCCCACTCCATTCAGATTCATGCAGAGGAACAGGCATAGATCCAGATCTGCCCCTAATCTGCCGTATAACAAGTTTTTGTAATGACTTTACGGCTGGCTCCTCTGTGCAGAACACCAAGGGAAAGCAGTTTTCACATCCTTTTCACTCTTATGGATGCAAAAGTTTTGAAGACAGGCCAGCGCGTAACATCCGTGCATCATTTCTCCCAAATACAAGGTAAGTAATAGCACTTAATTATCCCACATCTTCTGCATCTCCTCAAATCTCGGACACTTAGTCGATGGGCAGAACTGTTGCGTGGGACTGGAGGCAGAATTTCCATCTCCATGTAACGTACCTGGAGATCCTCAGGTATGCCGCAGAGATTTTTAATTACTACATTATAGGTAATGTTTTCCTCCTTATTAGCTGTGCTTGTTTCTTTTATCCTGCATGCTTGTTGTATGTTTTGTCATTTCCAGGGAAGGAGCCACATTAATTATTAAACTTATCATAGACAGAAAAACATTAAATATTTAATGTTCTTCAGCCTCCAAAGCCTCTTCAATGGAGTCTGTGCTGATCACACCTATTGTCACAAAATATTGCAGCAATGAAGCCTTTTATAATTCACTCTATCTTCTCAGCTGTGAGAAGGAATGCAAGGAACAAATGTGGATTGAGTATATCCTGTGCATCCCTCAAACTGAGATAGTTATATGTCTATAAATAGAATAGGATAAATAATAATGTGCGTTGTGGCTGGACACAATTTGCTTAGTTGTGTCTTTAGCTAGACAGCTTTTAATGACTGAGGAATTTCCTTTTAAATCAAGAAGATCCTGCTTGTGTCTGGAATAGATGGTGAAATTAGTGAACTCCCTTGTTCTGTTTATGGTTTATTGTTGGGAGATTTTGCCCTTTACTCCTAATACCGTCCCTTTGCTGCAGACCTGGCTGCTCTCCAGACTGTATCCTCTTCGACTCAGCGTGGGGCCAGTGTAATGAGTATATGATGGATTTGTAAAAAGTGCGTACTGAGAGCAGGATTGTATGGACATTTCAGTAGAGAGCGAACAGAAGTTTCTGGCGTCATTAACCTGCTCCTTAGGGAATGTCTGTGAGTCTCTTTTAATGACCCTTTCCAAGTCACATATATTAAATTATGAAGAGGTGATCCGAGGAACTGGGTGAATCTGCTAGCAAGAGAAGACCAAGGGAAGATGTAAAGAAGCATTTGCGCTGTCTGAGCTCTCATGGCTGAAGCAAATCAGAAATGATGGTTGGGAAGGACATCAGCAGTGAGGAGGGACACACAGGAAAGAACATCTGTTTGAACGAAGAAACCGAGATGGCAACCAGACATAATTTCTCCTTTTATTTAATATCACTGAATGTTAAGATAAGGCACTATGAACATGCATATTCTGTCCAGATGTCCTAGAAAGAGGGAGTAAAAGAAGTAATAGGTTTGGTTTAGGAATGGAGCAGGGAAGTAGCAAGATTTTCTGCTGTTTAAGCAAAGCTCTAGTCTTTTAAATTTCTGAACGTGACCTTGTGATTCCTTCCAAATCATATTTCATACTCTGGAAAATGTTGCAAAAACTACTTGTTAAGCTTGCTATTATGTCTTTAAATCTTTTGTTAACCCAGCTCCTTCAGAAAAAGCATTTCTGAAGATGGGCTGAAAACACATTACTCATAATACTGCCCTCAGGTAGCTTAGCTTTTGCATGCAAAGCTGCCGTAACTGAGGGACAGCGGTTACTCCACCAGTTGTACCCTTGTGGAACAACACATAAGCTATATTTATTGTTCATCAAGTCTCCTATGCTGCTGAACATGAAACTAGTAGGAAATATAGGACAGTAGGAAATAAAATTTTCTTTGGAAAATTCTAAAATACCTCAAAAAAACTTTTTTTTTTTAGTATCTTTAACTGAAACATAACACTTCTCTTGCTAAATAAGTTTCTAACAGGTTGCTGGAGACCAGACCTTGGAATTTCCGTGTTTCTGTGCAGTAAAATCAAGACTCTTTGGGAGTTTCTTCAGTACCTGTACGATTTCAGAAAAAAATAACTGAAATACTTCTAAATTTTTAACCTTAGATAAAAAAGATTTAAAAACTTTTTTTCTGAACAAAAGTTTTGATTTTTTTTGTTTTAATTTGGAATATGCTTTTTAATACTGAAAAAGAAGCCAAAGCCCAATTCTAATCACTTTCTCCTCTTTCTTCACACTTTAGGTTGGTTCACTTTGATTTGCTCTCATCACCATAATAGAAAGCTGTGACTCTCTATTTTCTTGTGAAATGCACTGAAGACAGGTGTCTAGGGAATGCATAATTTCCTATTAGCAGCAGTTGTTCCCCATGACTCTCTCAGTTCAGATCAGGAAAGGTATTAAATCTGAAGTTAGCTGTGTACAGAGATCCTTAGTGTATTTTTTCAAATTATTAAAGTTATCTGCCCTTGTCTGATACATCATTATTGCAGTGATTATCTTTCTAGAAGGGATCATTGAGGAGGATATTAATTGTACATTATTTTATTTTGATGTCAGGATTACAAAGAAGAAAAGATAAATTATTAATGCTTATAATGTTTTAGGATAATAAAAAAACGCATCTTCAAAATTATGACGGTCAAGTAGTCGAAAAGGCTGTTCTTTAACTTCTGTCTTTTAACTTCTGTCTTAGTACTATTTTTAAGAGCCTGATATTCAAGTGGTAGAGAAGTAATTTTATAATGTAGTGCTCTTACGCTGTGACTGAGTTGCTAAAATACTCTGTAAGTTAAATGGTCTCTGTTCAAAGTCATAACACAAACTCTTCGTCTGTGATAAACAGAAATGCTGATTCTGGAAAATGAGCTTAACAATGCAGAAATCTGATCAGAAAGTGTGAATTGTATCTTTACATTTAAAATAATCTAGCATCCATGTAGCCAGATTACAATCACAGTCTAGTTCACTAGCTTTTGCCTTTCATTCGCCCACTCCCAGTTCTGTTTCTTCCGCTTGGGTTTGACACACGGGCTGTCCTGGGTTGTCACTGCAGCTATGATTTAAGTATGGAAGTATGCATCTAGTGCTAACTTGAAGGATGGTTTTCTGTTCACAGCATGGAAATATCAGAAACGTCACAGCATGGAAATATCAGAAAATAGAGAGCTGTCCCTAATTCAGGTTTTGTAGCTAACGCTTTAATTTGGGTACTGGATTAGCTTTGAAACATGTTCACTGATGAACAGTTCACTGAATCAAGATGACGACGGACTCCAAGCTTTTCTTTAAAACCTGAAATTTATATATGGTGCCCTCAAGAGAAATGGGGGTCAGCAATCAGAAGGAAGTTTTTCCATTTCTTATTTGCTTTCATGTGTATCATTTATTTTGCCCATGGGACTTTAAGAATGACACACTAGAGTGTGTTCGGAGATTTTTTGTTGCTGAATATGTCGCCTTTGGCAAAGAAATAATAATAATGGAAAGAGCCAGAAGACTTTGACCAATCAGAATGAATTTTTGCATCGTCCTCTGTGATTGCCTACCTTTTCTTAGTTGTGGAGGTGGGCATTATTCTTCCTTTTTTGGGAAAGACCAGGGTAAGATGCTT